GGAAGATATTCACATAAATTATTAAAGTAGTTTAACATGTAAATCTGCTTAGTAATATGGGTATCATGTCTAATCTATAACATGACAGTTTGTTGAGAGCACTTGTTACTTTTTAAATCTAAATTCACATCTTCACTCTATTTGTCTTTTCACTTGCAGCCGAAGATGCAAGTTTGCTCTGCTTCTGTGGAAAAAATATATTGAACGTCACAGAAGTTATCCTTAAAGGATACGGCCCCCATGCTTCGCATAAATCTGCTCCATTGCACGTCAAGCAAAACCTAAAGAGCTCTGTACAACAGCTGCTTTGCTTAGTCCTGCTTTGTCACATTCCAATTTTTTCGAGGAGGAGAAAAAGTGTTTACGAAGGATCGGATGCATTTGTCAATGGATGCCCTTGGAATAGTGGACGATAGTTGCCTGGACAACTATGACATTGCAAAAAGTGCCGGGTCGAGCAGTGGAGGCAGGGTCCACAGTATTGATGTCATACTGGGATTCACTAAAGACCAGGACCCTTTACTCCATTCGGTAGGAGATGGTGACAGCCAAAAAGCCAACGGAGAAAACCCACATCACCCTGAAAAGCAGGTCCATCTAGACCCATACGGGCACCTTCCAGAACTGGGCGACAGCTCCGAACATTCTTCCTACCACGGTGAGTATTTTGAGATTTAAAAAAGCTACTGTCGACCACAGAAACTCTAGTAAATTGAATTGTAATAAGTTCAGGACATATTGTCGTGAACCATGCACCAAGTGGAATTGGAGCGGAACTAAGTTTGTCAGAGTATAGTATACAATACTCCCAAAAAGTTTTCCCACTGTTTTGGATGAGCGCTCTTCCATAAAATTTTTGCAACCACTCTCTTTATTGGTCATTATTCCTTCTTTGAAATTACAGTGACAACATTTAGTGAAGTTATCCTTTGTGAGCATGGATCAAATATTTGTTTGAATAATATAATTTTATCCAACTTTTATTTGTAGTGGCTACTATAGAATAACAAATATAAAGGCCAGTCGGTGGTAGAATGATGAATTATCAACTAATGGCTCTCGAGCAAAACAAGCTCAACATTATGATATAGCTTTGCTTAATGTTCAAGCTACACTCTTGATTCCTGACTGTTTTCTCCCATGTCCCAATTAGAGAAAACATGCATGACTTAATCACATCACGTAGATTCTGTGTTGACCTGCTCTATATCTATCTATAAGAAGCTACCACTGAAGAATGCTTTGTACATCGTTTTTTATAATCATTTCATTGTTATGTTGTAAACATGTGGCAGCTGATGATACCCACTGTTACGTTCCATTCACTTGTTTTCGTGCCAGGGCCCAAGTATCGTCTCTTAGCAACACACCTGACTGGCAGAGAGCTGAGGTTATTGTCATTAGCTTCACTTGTGCTCTTGTTGTTTGCATGTTCATCATGACAAAAGTCCATTCTGATTATTATATCTGTTGCACGGGTCACTTTGGGAAGCTAAGAATTTATATTCTTTGGATTTGACTGGAGGCCAGTGTTTGATTATACCATTGCTACCTACTGTAAATCAGGGATGTTAATAGAAACATTCAATTTTCAGTCACTATTGGAAAACAAATACTATGTGGTTGACACAATCACCTGCTGTTTGCTATCTAATACACTTTTACTATGTCATTTGAAATAATTAATGGAAATTATGTTGTTTTTGTCATTTAAAAATTGCTAAGCTATAGCAAAACCTACAATAAGAGCACTTAAAGTACCTTAGAATCATGGATACTATCAAATCCATAAGTGATTTATTACTAATTTAGCCTGAATGTGGCTTGCTGTAACTTATTCAGCCCAAATAATGTCATATGCATTCTGTGGACCCCTTAAAACGGCATCTTCTTACCTGCCACAGTGTGAATATGGCATGTTATGCATGTAGGTGGCAAATATACACAGCTGATTATCATAGCAGCAACATATGGTATGCGAACAGTACAATAACCATCAGACTACAGTAACAACAACTGACAGATGTTGGTGGGTGAGCTCGGCTTGAGCATTTCTGGTCAATGGAGGAGAAGAATTGCATGGACAGAGGACAGAAAAAAGAGACAGGAGTGATATGTTTCTCCTTGGACACTCGTATTTCACTGGGAAAATTTGCTGATTAACATTTGCTCTGTGACATTGCTCCTGATATTGCAGGTGTCAAACCACTATGGAGTGTATATTGCCTTTTCATACCACAGATGTAACCATATGCCATCACCATAGTGTGACTCTGCTTTCTGACCAATCTTTCACTGACACAACATGTAGATTCTCAGAATGTTCAATCTACACTTCAACTGATTTCACAGGTTTACAGTTCAGAAAGCTGCTGATATGGAAAATTTGTGTTTTCATTCACAAAAGTCATCCCATTAATTCTATATTCATTAAATAGATGGTGTACGCTTTGAATATCACAACAAACTCTGAACACAAAGTTTTTGCTGCCAGATATCCTTCTTATTGCAAACCAGTGATCTGTTGACCATGCAGCCGAAAGTGATTTGATACGATTAAAAAGCATTGGTGCATCACACACACACACACACACACACACACACAGACACACATGCTCTACATCAATTTCTTGGAACACACAATATGGACTATGACTGTTTACTCGACCTGTGCAGAAGCCAACTTAAGTCCCTTGTTAGATTAGAGGAGGCGGGCACTCGCAGCTTTAACTGGTGGCATCTGTTACCATGGGATTACTGCAAGGGAAGAATTCAGTGAAAGATGTTGTCATTTGGACTCACTGAACCCCTGGGGTTCACAAACCATCAACCGTATAAAGGCTCATCAGTCATTAAGCTGTTTTATCATGAGGAGAGGAGTTAACGTTTCACTTTTTGATCAGACTGAATATCCAAAATATTCTATTTATTTTGAAATAACTACACAACTACGCAAGTAAAGACGTTTCTTTCTGGTAACATGTTTTTGTCCTTGAACAAGATGAAATACAATATATTGTAGATCAAGTATTATTCATTCTTTTTTCCAAAGAAAGGAATAAAGAATATGTAATAAGAGTGATTGAGGTCTAGCGATCATAATACTGTTAAAGTCTAGTTTTTACTTACATAACTGTTTCCAGACTGAACCAAATAATAAGACCAATTTTTTGGAACTGTTATTGTGGACACAATTTATAGTCGGATACCACCAACAGTCGCAACTTCTGGTTCAAATCAGGAGACAAGGTATCAAGTAACATGGGGAGTTAATGTCTGTTTGAAGGTTGGTCCATTAAAAAAACTATAATTTTACTTTGTGAATCACTATTTTGACAAGTTTTTTACCCAATGCTTTCAAAACGTTTGAATTATTCGATCTGAATAAATGCCAGCCAAGTCTGTGGAAAGCCAAAAATTGTCTTTAAGGTTGTCAAATCTCAAAGATGAATTACTATGTCATGTTATTGGTGAGATAATGCACAAGGAGGCCCCTAAACTGATGGATTTGGCTTTACGGTTTAGATCATAGCCTACGTATACTTACCTAGATCCTTAATTGCTCTTTTAGCTCAACCTTGCTCTGCCCTCACGTCTTTGGCTTTACTCTGCCAAATAAGATTTGTGAACATGGTAGTGTTGCCAAATTAAAGGGCTGCTTAGTGGCTTGATACCAGTTGCACGCCACTTGGTTGTTGTTTCATCAATTCTGAAAGATGTGGATGGATATAAATCCCCAAAATGGAAACATTAGAAATGGGTGTCTGCTTTCGTTATTTAAGACACTTTAAGTATCCCTTCTGAATTGAGAAAAATGGCATACTTATTAATGCTTTCTATTCTTCATTTCAGAATCTGACCTCTTCTCAGGTGACAAGTGTGATGGAGAAATGAGTGACCTGCAGAAGAACGTGGACGATGTAGAAGGGTCTCCAGAGACCATAAAAGAGGAAGAGCACACTAAAAAGAAACACAGAAGAAATCGTACCACCTTCACCACCTATCAGCTCCATGAGCTGGAGCGAGCCTTTGAGAAGTCCCACTACCCAGACGTCTACAGCCGCGAGGAATTGGCGATGAAGGTCAACTTGCCTGAGGTCCGAGTTCAGGTAAAGACTATATAACGCCAAAGTGACACATTTAATCATTAGATTATTTGTTTTATTTGAATTCTATAACCAGTGCTCATGCTTCCGAATCCATTTTACAACAGGCTCTTAATGGAACATGCAACAAAACTAGAATGCGTATACCTCTGCCAAGGTCCATCTGTCCCCTTAAATTCAATCAAGCCACCCCAAATTGCACTCATATGTCAGTCCCCTAAATATGCCTGCCTTTTTCATTCTTTATTCCCTGGAAAATCTCTGAAAATGTCAACGGCACACAATAAAATCCCCTCTTTTTGTATTTTTCTGATGATTTCATTCTTACTCTTGCTCTTGGTCTCAGTGCCACTTCATCTCATCTCATTTCATTTCTCTCGGGCCAGGTGTGGTTTCAGAACCGAAGGGCCAAGTGGCGACGTCAAGAAAAGATGGATACTAGCACCATGAAGCTTCACGATTCCCCCATGCTATCCTTCAGTCGCCCTTCGATGCCTCCCAACGCTGGTCCTGTGGCTAATGCGATGCCCCTAGATCCCTGGCTGACCTCACCCATCTCCAGTGCCACGCCTATGCATACCATCCCAGGGTTCATGGGCTCACCACAGGGCTTGCAGCCTACCTATCCGAGCCATGGCTTTCTCAACACCCCGCCTGGCATGGTCCAAGGTATGCAGCCCATGGGCCCACCTCCTTACCAGTGCCCTCCCAGCTTCAATGATAAATACCCAATGGAGGATGACAGGAGTTCCAGCATTGCAGCACTCAGGATGAAGGCCAAAGAGCACATTCAGTCAATGGATAAAACTTGGCAGCACATGTGATGTGGTGCGGCACTATGGACGGATTTTTGATCTGCTCCCGTGAATGTTTACAAACTGCTTTTCAGCTGTTAGTTTCATGTACCGATGAAGAGGATACATGACACCAAAGGTGTTTGAGAGTCTGCAATTTTTTTTTCCAATAATGCTGATAAGCAACTCTCAAATTGGACTTCTTGTGATTTTTTGTTTTAAAAATTCACTTTAAAATATAATTAATTTTGGACAAACAATGTTTTTGGTCGCAAGGAACGATCAAATCTCTGGTGGTCAGTCTTTTGGTTGGGCAGGTTTTTTTTGAGTGAGAGAAAATCTTCAACATGAATGTTTTGACACTTTAAATGAGTGTCTGAATTTTGTATATTTCTGACAAAATTAAATACAGTTTAGCATATAAGAGACTTAGTAGAGCCATGTGGTCAGTATTAGAAACATCTTTCCATTTAGAGTTATTACTTACAGATTTCAAAACATTTATATAAGTGTGCTGTCTTAATCCAGTGGTGTTCTGACCTTTTGGTTGAAATATACTTTATAATTTCTGAACCTAACCCTCACTACAGGTACCTGAGTGTAAGATCTTCCTGTTCCCTTGAAGTGATAACATGAAGTTTTCATAAATGGCCACTGCACTGCACTTTCAGAGTGTTTGTTGGTATCTAATCCTCAAGAAATATTTAGTGTTGGTATAAACTTGTTTTACAGTATATCTGTTTGGTTGGCTTTTCTACTTCGTCCAATATGATTGCTTTTTTAAAATCATTAAAATTCCCTTTTGGAGAGCATGGAGTCTGAATGGGGGAGGTTATCGGAAGTCAGAGAGCATAATCTGGTTGGAGGGCTAATTTAAACAGACAAGCATAGCTCTTAACACCTAATTACTGCTTTTAAAGCGATTAACCCCGGATTTTCAGCCATAGACAGAATGCCCTCAGATGCCCCTTAAAACCCCTTTAAAAGACCTGATTAACTCCCCCTCAAACTTGCTCATTTATATTATTTCTAATTTACAGATACAACACTACATACCAGTGTTTCCTCCATGGTCTTGATCTTCATCCTTATTGGTAAAGGGTACTTCTTATTACATTGTTGAAACAATAGTCACTTGAGTCAAATGGATTTAGGTTGAGAAAGATAATGGATGCTGGCAGCCCCATCTTACTGTTGGAAACTGTTGAAACTGTTGGACCACAACTAGAAGAAGAAGACAAACTCTGTCTTTTATGTATATGCATTAAACTGATGTCGAAGGCTGCTGCGTTAGCAAAACAATCTTTTCATCATTTCTTCTGTGGCATCTCTCCTGACATTTTATTTCATGGACTCAAGGGAAAAGACCTTGATAAGTGTCTTAGCCAGGCTTTCATCTCTTTGTCAAAACGTGTCATGAAGTTAAATTTATCTGAATCAATATGATTTTATAGATTACTTTAAGAATACTCTGTCATCAATTTCACAGACTTTAGAAATGGCAACATCAGTTGTATAGGTTTTGCTGTTTGTTTTGTTCTAATCCCTGTTTATAACAGTGGACGAAAAGGCCAAAGAAATAAGAAGGAACTTTTGTTTTTACTAGAAGAAACATTTATAAATATTTGTGGATGTTGGTTATTTTTTCATCAGTTTTCAGTATCATTATATACTAATTTCTAGTTCTTCCAAGTTTTTAAATTGTGATATTGTTTTTCCATGTGCAAAACATAGAATAAAGTTACAGTCGCACTACTGTAGAAGCACTTTGATCGTAGACCTTGTTTTTCTTTGCACACATCCATTAGTGAGCCACCAACATGACTTAGTGCCATTAATGAGCGCCGACATACAATAGGCCATGTAAGCTGTGACAGAGCAAGCTGGCCTGATGGAGGCCTGTTGTGTTCGTCCAGGCCTGTGGAGCTTTGCCAGGCCGTTAGGCAGATGAGGCTCCACTCCATCAGGCCCAACCAGGGGTGTCAGGAGGCCCCGCCTGCTAGGCTGCAGAGGCCACAAGGGCTAAAGCTCTAATTGCCCTCCAGTAGCTCTTGTGGATTAACTGCCCCAATTTATTTTGGGAAAGAGGTTTGAGCACTGGTCTTTTTGCAGTACTTTGGAACAACATATTAGTAACAACCTAATCTAAAATATTCAAGATTTTAAGTTGACATCAATTAGCTGCATCTATCAGACACTTCACTACTTCTATCTACATTAAAATAAATTTGGAATTTTATGAAGAAATGTATTCACTATATTAAAAGTAACAATGTTGTGTACAGATTGTCTGAAGGGAAGAGGTGGCAGCAAAAACCAAATATGTGCATGTTTACTACTAATATTGTTATAATAAATATATTTGATTTGCTAATATTGCACCAGAGCAGTATGCTTCTTTAGAAGCAAGAATGTTTGCAGAGTTAAAACCCGGACCTGTGATCTTTTAGAGTGCACATTTATAAATTGTCTATACTGTATGAGCTGTTTTAGATAGACACAAGAGCAGAGGATGCTGCTTAGGTGACTTAGGGAACATGAAGTATATAAAAGTTAGCAAACAGCAAATGGGACATAATGAACCAAATAAAGTTGATTTCTTGCTCTCTCTGCCCTCTGATTTTTTGGCATACTCTTATTTTGGCCGAGAGAGAATTTGCTATATTTTCTCACCATTTATATGCCTGAGCAGTTTGGCATAATAAATCATTAGAGGCATGTAGATGAAAAGTGTTTGACCATGCTATATTTAGTGATAACTTTCTCTCACCACACCTTTGTCAAAAAGACTTAATGTAGCAACATCCAGGAATGACTAGAGACGCACTCAGAACTAGTAATTATTATTATGTTACTTTGCTTGGTCAAGCATGACCTTCGCTGGGGCCCAGGCTCTAGTTAACAGGCTGACTGGAGGGACATGGTCCATGGTGGAAATAATAAGGAAAAAGAGCGGAAATAATTGGGTTTGATTAAGAGCACTTTTCAAAGGGACACCATTTTCCCTTCCTGACATAATTGCTTAGTGCCTGTTTATGTGCGTGCACATGTGAGTGTGGAGGGGGTGGGAGGGGAGTCAGTTGCTCGTCTTCATCCCACTCTTTACTCAAACAGTTACTTGCCTTACAAACATGTGCCTGACATGCACCAGTGCCCTTGTCAATGGCTTAAAGGTTCAGTATGTAAGATTTTGTATGTATGTAGGTTTTAATCTAAATTGTACAAATTGGTTTTTTTTGTTTATTCTACAATTTACACAAGTCCAAACTGGACAAACTAAACAAAACACCTTTTGAGTTTGTATAACAACTGAAGGCTACCACAGGTTCACTGAAACTTTAATGTTGACTGAACCACTCACCCAGTTACTCTTGATGACTCATAAATGTTCATCTAACCCCGATACGTATTAGCTTATTGCTGTCCCTCATTTAGAAACATATTAGCAATTCCTTATTTTCAAAAATATATTTTCACAAATGACAGACTATATTGCTGTTTCCCCAGTAGTAGAATTAAGTTAGAATGGCAGGATAAGTCCAGATGGAGCATGCCAGAATCTCATTGGCAGAAGAGGGAATTCATTCAGCAAGAAACAAGTACAACATGAATGTATTTTAAGATAAGGCCTTATATGATACAATAAATAAGGTCTTATAATATATCCATGAGTGTAGGCCACAGGTTTTATAAAGTGGGAGAGGGCTCGAGACAGTTTTAGGTGAGACTCAGTTAATGAACGTGAAAAAAAGAGTTTGCACATAAGTTATTAACAGGAGATTGTGGAGTACTGGTTCACTGTTCAGAGATACTGAAGTTCAGGTCCAAGCTATGACTAAGGGGAGGCACAGAATCTCACACTTTAATAAGTCCTCATATTACTTGATGCTCATAAAGTCACAACTCACCATAAAACAGTAATGTTCCCCTTATGCTTAATATCTATTAGAGTCTAGAGACAGTTAAACTGTAGACTCAATATGTAATGTGAACTGTAGATATATTCAACTTCAGACAGGGACCCTAATGATAGTTACTTTTAACTAACTAACACTGAGCCAAACACTGTGACAGCAAACAAACTCCAGTGTGGCTCATTAAAAGTAAAGGCTAAAGGTCAAAGCGGTTAATAATTAGTACAGTTAATTATTTCTGGTTGCTAGCTTACCTTGGATGTTAGCATTGACTGTGCAATAACAAACATTACCGCCAGAACACACGGGTTAAGCTAACATTAGGGCCGCAGGAGAGCACCGTCGGATCAGGGGCCTTGGTGTTTGGCGCTATCTACCGGATGGATCCTTCAACAACACGTGGACATCAAACAACCGATTCTGGATCAGTAAACCGCGGAAGACATATGTTTCGTGGTCTACTGTGATTGGTCCAGACACAGCACGTCCCCGGCCAATGACAGGGAGACATCTGTTCGCTGGAGCGACTCTAAAATATTCCTTCTCTTCCTCCTCTCGGTTTTCATTCAGCAGACTTCGGCAGCAGCAGCAGACCTGTGGGGCTGAAGAAAGATGAAGGTCCTCGGCGTAGCAGCGGTGATTCTGGCAGTTTACTGCGCACATGCTAAGGTTTACTTTCGGGAGGAGTTCCTGGACGGTGGTGAGTTTTCGGCTTGGATGTGTTCGACACTGGCTGGTTGGAGTTAAATGCATCTTTGTGTTAAATTCATTGCACCTTAAATTTAAATAAGTTGTCCGGGGTTTTATATCGAGGCCTCCACCGTGATCACGGAAGTAAGTGTAAACAGCAGCGTTCCCTGTTTCATGCGTTAAACTAGCTTGTTAAGCTAGCTAACTTTAGCAAGGCCCCGAAGCTAGCAAACGTAACGTCCCACCCCCGCTGAAGTTACAAGTTCTAGCCCAAGTTCTGGAGTCGACTGGTTTTTAAATATGGATGTAAACTGCAGTGATAGTTGTATTTGTTGGGCGACTGTCCTCGGGGAGTAGTTGTGTGTGTCTGGATGCTTCCTCTGGGGTTAAATCTCACCTGGTCTGTGCAGATGAATGGAGAAGTCGCTGGGTGAACTCCAAACACAAGTCTGACTATGGAGAGTGGAAACTGACGGCTGGGAGCTTCTACGGAGATGCAGAGAAAGACAAAGGTAAATAGTTTTTGAACTCCACACGGGAATCCCCTGTATTCATCATTGTCTTTTCATTAAGGCCTAAAATATACCAAGGCACTGTGAAACATGTTGGTGTAAATTCTGAGAGATCAATAAAGTATAACAACCAAGAGCTGAGTATATCGAACTGTATCGATGAGGCAACGAATCAAATGCAATTCAAAGTGATTGACAAAACATAGATCGGTTAAAAAGATTTAGATTTGGGGTTAAATGCATAACAAAGCAATCAAGAATAGAAAGTGAAAGTAAGTATAATCAACATATGGTCTATGGTAAAACAAAATGGTATAACATCTCCTCTCAGGTCTCTGCCAGGCTCCACCGGTGACTTTGAGTGTTATGGCTGAAAGCAGCATAACTAAATTTGTTGGTCAGATACACAACCTGATTCTACAGCCTTAATATTTACAGAACAAGACACTTAACTGCCGTAGCCTGGTGTAACCTCAATGCCCAACCCTACATTTTTTGGCAGGATTAGAGGCATTTCCGACGCTGTTATCAAAACATCTCTACTTGGTGTTTTTACATTATGTAAAGAGAACTTGTTTTCTAAAGATTTATTTTTATACTTTGTATTTCAGGTCTCCAGACCAGCCAGGATGCTCGTTTCTATGCCTCCTCAGCCCGTTTTGAGCCTTTCAGCAACGAGGGCAAGTCTTTGGTCATTCAGTTTACTGTAAAGCACGAGCAGAAGATTGACTGCGGGGGTGGCTACGTGAAGGTCTTCCCTGCTGATTTGGATCAGGCTGCGATGCATGGAGAATCCTCATACCACATCATGTTTGGTAAGTGATGACGGTTACAGTAATAAAAATAATGAATAATTACAATAGCAAGATTTGCAAAATGTTCTAATTTTATTTATTTCACCCAGGTCCTGATATCTGTGGCTACAGCACAAAGAAAGTCCATGTTATCTTCAATTACAAAGGCAAGAATCATCTAATCAAGAAAGAGATTAAGTGCAAGGTAATTCTAACTTTTAAATTTTTGTTTTTTTCCTTAATAAAATGCAAACATGCATGGCCTCTGCTCCAGCAGTTAAACCCAATCACATCTTTTTCTTACAGGATGATGAGCTGAGCCACCTGTACACACTGATCCTGAATCCAGATCAGACCTATGAGGTGAAAATTGACAATGAGAAGGTGGAATCTGGCAGTCTGGAGGAAGACTGGGACTTCCTGCCTCCCAAGAAAGTAAAGGACCCTGAGGCCAAGAAGCCAGAGGACTGGGATGATCGTGCCAAGATTGACGATGCTGATGACACCAAGCCTGAGGTAGATGAGCTTACTGTTATAACTACGTCATCATGTTTATCAATCTCAAACTGCTGGCAGGGGAGAGTGCTTTTGATTTATTTCTCTCCTAGATTTCCACTTCAGTTCTGGGCTTAAAGGAGCTTTTATTCACAGTTGTGTCTGTTTTCCTCTTTAGGAGTGGGACAAACCTGAAAACATTCCAGACCCTGATGCTAAAAAGCCTGAAGACTGGGACGAGGATATGGATGGAGAGTGGGAGCCACCCATGATCCCCAACCCAGAGTACAAGGTAGATAAAAATAGTTTATGATCTTTCTGTCTGAGAAATGCTTAAAATTCAGTCTGTAAATGTCTCATAAACATTTTTTCCGTTACAGGGAGAATGGAAACCCAAACAGATTGACAACCCCAACTACAAAGGATCATGGGTGCATCCTGAGATTGACAATCCTGAATACAGCGCAGATTCCAGCATCTACAAGTTTGATAGCATTGGAGTTTTAGGTCTTGATCTGTGGCAGGTGAGAAAGAGATCATCTTTAAATAGTCCTGTTATTATTGCAGTGATATTTATTACCAGTTTAACATGTTTTACTGTTCATCTCAGGTGAAATCCGGGACCATTTTTGACAACTTCCTCATCTCAGATGACGTGAAGGAAGCAGAAGACATAGGAAATGAGACATGGGGTGCAACAAAGGTAAACTGATGCTGATATTGTCTTCAGGCTATATTTTGTTACATATACAACCCATGAAACCATTGTCGGGGAGAAACTGAATACATTAACCAGACACATGGTTTGTAAATATCTTAACTCTCCTCATAGGAACCAGAGAGGAAAATGAAGCAGGAGCAAGATGACCTGAAACGAAAAGAAGAGGAGGAGAAGAACAAAGAACAAGATACTGAAGCTGATGAAGAAGAAGACGAAGAAGCTGCAGCAGATGAGGAAGAGGACGACGAAGAAGAGGACGAGGAGGAAGATACAAAGGATGAAATGGAAGAGGCACTTTCAGAAATGGAGGAGGAGGAAGCAAAACTTAAAGATGAGCTTTAAGGAGGCAGATATTTTCTGTCCCTCCTTTAGAAACTCTGTCCTGTGTTTCCCAGGGGTATTGTGGCTGCTGTGCATCCTTTCCCTGAGATCTGGACACGACCCAACTTGGGGGGTAAATGTAGTGAAGTGGGGCAGGTGGGTGTTAATGGACGTAGTTTCTCTTTCATTTTGGTCTTGACGTTCCCCTGTTGATTATAAGGTCTACAAAGTCCATCCCTCATTTTGTCATAACAGAAAATAAGGAGGCACTGACATCTTCTGTTTTCTTGATTTTCTTTCTGGATTTACACGTTCATGTTATTTACAGATTCCCTTTGTACAATCACTCCTCTGTGATTAAAGGTTTGGTAAAAATGGCAAATAATGATCTACAGAGAATAGAGACAATCATATGTTGACTTAAAAATTCTCTTTCAGCCTGGGCAACACAGAATGCACATAACTGAACATAATAGCATAAACTATAAGGCTTACAGCAAAAATAATCATGACCTACAGAATTCCAGACTGTAGTGTAACTTATTTTGGTTATGTCTTTGGCACTGAGTTTTTATTTTGCTTTCTACTCTTTAAGGCACAATTGAATGAAATCCCAAGTTTAAATGTTTTCTGACATTGAAATGACATGAATTCAACATGTATTCATGGTAATGTGATTGGACATGCATTGTTTCCTGAAAGTCTGGAGAAACAGATGGTGAGCGAGCCCCTGGTATGACTCATGACATCACTAAGGGTCACACTTATTTTTATTGGACAGAATGTTATTGATACCAAAGTTTTTATTAAAAGATTATAACCATATTGCCTTATTGTCATACTTTTTAAATTCTACATCCACGTCCAGAAACAGCAGAGCACAGAAAACGATCACTACCGCTGCTGGAATACTACCGCTGCTGGAATACTACCTTAGTCAGGTTGTTTCTTGACTAGACGCAACCTAAATAAACTATGTGTCATAAAAATAAAATATTGACCAAAACATTAGTCAAATTACTACAAACTGAATCTGAGGGCCTGGTGCCCATACTGCTGGGTAGGTCAGGATGGACTGTATGACTGTTCCACTGGAGTGAAAAGCTTCTCGAATGCCTCCTGGTGACTGGCTGCAGTGTGGGTTATGCACAGCACCCTGGCTCTTCTGTGTCAATATACAAACCATGTCATTTTTACTGTTATTAAATGTGTCGTACACATAGTACCGTCCAATAACTGTCTGTGGACGTGTTACAATGTTGTTAATATGTGGGAATGCCCCGTAATGTGTTTAATAATAACAATAAACTTTATTTATATAGCACTTTAAAAAAAAAAAAAAAGCAAGAAAAGTAAATCTAAGAGAAATAAAAATCAGCAGGATGCAATGTGACAAGGAGGCCAGACAACCACGTTTAGGTCGGAAACAAGGTGTTCAAATGAAATTTATAAATACAGAGCTGTGTCACAGGGAAACATAGACACATTTAAGTAGTAATATGACAATAAAAATAAATGTTGAATCAACTTTATTATGGTCCCTTTAAAGTCACAGAATAAATAAGAGAGTACAGAGTGTCAGGTGGCTTTTAAAATACACGTCTCATGAACAACATTCGTATATTTTAATAAATGTGTGTGTTAGTAATCTATACAAGAGTATTTGTGCCACTTCACGAGCATGAAAACGACTGCGCATGCGCCTGCAGAGGATGAAGGTCCGCCATCTTGTCTGCAGCCTGGTGTCTACTACAGGGTGTAGTGAGTCTTTTTAATTCAGATCAGTTTTATTGATACTGAGACTGGTTGTTATAATGAATAAGATTTAAAGATGCAATAATCAGGTTATTAAGGGATGTGATATTTTCGAGAGCATACATACTGCTGCAAATTGTATTGTTTATAATAACACAATTTATTAGAAGTATAACATATACAGTGGACATTATTCTATTATTATTTTACCGAGGGACTGGGAAGAGTTACTCATAGATGTGAACAGTGGAATCTGTAAAGCTGAAATTGTTTAATTAGATGAATATGAGTGAGTTATGAGCTGCTGGTCAAAATACACAATTGCAATTCCTCAGGTTGAGCTTTTTGGAGATGAATAGCGACATTTGATGGATGAAACAGTCTCTAGAATGTAAAGAACGAATGAACTGATGATGGAAATAATCAGTAGTATTTGCTTCATACTTCACATGTGGATCCATCTATATTTATCTTTCATCACTTGTTTGGCCACAGCTATAAATATGATTTATTGGGAAACACTGCTCATAACTAACATCAGGTGAGTTTTAAGAACATTCAGGTTCCACATCTTCATTGTTAGTCAGAAGCTCCTGTCCCGGTTACTTCCGGTCAGTGCCCCCCCTCCCCTCCCCTCCCCGCCCTCTCCCTCCGCTCGGCCCCGCGTCTCCTCCCTTAAGGGGCGTGTGCGCGCTCCCGAGACACCAGGAAATATGGCGGCGCTCATGACGCTCAGTCAGGTAAGAAGCGAACTGTGTCCAGAAAAGCCTCTTAAATCAGAAGTTACTCGCCGTCCAGGGCTGGTGACAGTGTCCGTGTGCCCTCACCTCACCGCTGCCGCGTACACCGCGGTGAAGACTCGGCTGTGGAGCCGTATCAGGGACGTTTCGTTGTGGGGGAAAGAGTTGGTTGGCTAGTTGAAGTGAAGATAACAAAGTTACTGTTTGTTTTCATGGGAGAGGGAAGCTACAGCTGCGAGCTGATCCCGAGAACGGCTCCTCCTGTTTACAGTGGTTGAACAAAAGCAAATCCTCGGCTAGCTAACGTTAGCTCTGTTCATCTTCTCCGGTGTCCTCACGCCAGAGTCACCTCTTGCTAACTAACAGCTCCAGTTTGTCTACTCTCTCGTTGTGACTCAGCTGCTGCTGTTGTGTTTCTTTCTCATCTGCCTCTGCAGCTATCGGGTGGAAACCCAGCCTATGACAACTATTACAGACAGGTGAGTTGGTGCTCAGCTGCTGGGATGTCCTCCTCTTCTAGTGCTCATTCAGTTATATCACCTTGTTGTTTGTGTCTTGACTCTTTGCAGCTGGATCCTGGGAACACAGGCAGGATATCAGCCGTAGACTCAGCTCAGTTCCTCAAGACGTCAGGGCTGTCCGGCAGTACATTAGGGAAGGTGGGTTTCAATCACATGAGACACATGCTGTGTGTATATTTAATCTATGGCTTCTGGATTGTTGATATTTCTTCCCCTTAGATTTGGGATTTGGCCGATTCAGAAAGAAAAGGATATCTGGATAAGCGGGTAACACTGAATTTCTCTGTACAATTGCAGTGATTGATAATGTTGACGTGTGCATTTAACAGCCACACAACCAGTGACCCTCTTCCTCTTTTGTAGGGTTTCTTCATAGCTTTAAGACTGGTGGCCTCAGCACAGGGTGGAAATGACATCAGCCTTAACAACCTCAACCAATTCTTAGCTGCTCCTAAATTTGTAAGTGTTGAAATGGAGTGTGTCAGAGGAAAATGGCATCCCTCACTGACTATTCCTTCTCTTCTTGACTTTATCTTTTACAGAAAGACAGCAACAGCCCATTATTGAGTGCTCCAACGACAGCGCCTGACTCACAGTGGGCAATAAGGGTAAGTTGATGGTATTAAAAAATCATTATTGAAGATATTAGAAAGTCAGCCTTGTCTAATCTTGAGTTTTTTCTTTTCTTTCCCAGCCTGAGGAAAAAGGGAAGTTTGAAGGCATTTTTGAGAGTCTGTCTCCTGTGAAGGGTCTCCTCTCTGGGGATAAAGTCAAGCCAGTTTTGATAAACTCCAAGCTACCTCTGGATGTGTTAGGAAAGGTGACATGACACTTTAGAGTGATCATACCCACACATAACACAATTTTAACAATTCAAAGCAGCTAAATCACGTTTATTATCGCATTTAATCACTGTTTCTATAGATTTGGGACCTAAGTGATGTAGGTAAAGATGGGCTTTTGGACAAAGATGAGTTCACAGTGGTAAGCTAACACAAAAAACATGTTTGAGCCAATACTTGATATAACTAAAAAGAGATTAAATCACATGAATTAACTGATTTGACGTCGTCTAGGCCATGCATCTGGTGTATAGAGCCATGGAGAAGGAGCCTGTCCCAGCAAGCCTACCCGCTTCCCTCATCCCCCCTTCTAAAAGGAAGAAGTCTGCTGGTGCACTGCCCGGTGCTGTGGCTGTGCTGCCCATTCTGTCTGGCCTTACATCTGGCCCAGCTCCTCTCAAGGACACCTTGCGAAGTACTCCTCCTCTGAGCAGCTCTACTCCCCTCAGCATCAGTGCTGTCAACCTCTCTCCAAAACACTCTTTCAAATCCAGCACACAGGTATGTCACCTCACCTCCTCACTTGTGTCTGTCTGGAGGTGCTGTTAAGACTAAATGAAGATACACCACAATATAGAAACAGTGTGAATTATCACATAAAATAATGAGACTAATGTTCATTGAAATTATATACTCCATAACTCCAATGTACTTTTTCCTGCATCAACGCAATGAACTAATTTAGTCAAAACTATTTTATAACTTTTATTTTATACATTTTATAACATTTATTACAAGTTCATAATTGTTAAAAGTGAGTTATTTTCCAGCCCCTCTGAATCTCTCTCTCCCTCTATTAAAAGCTATACATACATCCAGTAAAATAATTGGTTTTACTTCTTTTATTAGCTGCCTGGTGTCATTGGTACAGATGCCTTACTGATTGGATTGATTGTTTTAGAAAAAGAATACATCCTTCATATATGTCTCCAAGTGCAGTGACCTGTAATCCAGGGAAATCTCATGCCTGTATAATAGAGAGTTTTCTAAGTAGAAATAAAATGTAAAACTGTTAAATAAACACATCCTGCGTCTCATCAAATAATTGTCAGAAGGGCAGGACCTGGCATCTCAAAGAAACCAACATATTATGTATTGATGCCTTTCCTTTGCTAATGGCTGGACTTGTTTTGCCACATTGCTCTAAGCCTTGTGAACTGATCTTTCACCCGTGACTTGGAGGAACAGGTTTCCAAGAGAGGAAAGGGAAATGAGGTTCTCTTCTCACAGTCTTACCACAAATCCCTGACGTGGCTCTCATGACAATTTCTCTCAAAGAATGTAATTTTATATAAAGTATTCTCTCTAATACCAAAAACAGATACCTCATTTTGTAGGGATCCTTGTGTCATTTGGTATATTTATGTTTTGAAATGTTCTTGTTTACTCACTGTCAATCTGATTAGTTTATTTAGTGACATTAATTATATTCAATTTTTAGATTTTACGTGTCACCATTTCCAGTAAGTGTGTGAGTGAATGTGACCGGTGATGAGCAAAGCGGTGCATTTTCATAAAAGGGAGGATTCTTGTGAAATGTTGGTGCTCATAGTAAATATTTTTTAATTGTATACCCTTCATTTCCATCCTAAAACAATATCGTACTTAAATGTCACAACAGCCCCATTCAGATTGAGTCCAGTATATAAAAAGTCCAATGATTTTGTTGCAGATGTTTTGAAATCTGAAATCACATCAATGTTGCTGTTTGCTCTTTCTAGCCAGCGGTGAACTGGGTGGTACCGGTGGCCGACAGGGAGAGATATAAAGACATTTTCAAGCAAACAGACTCAGACGGTGACGGCCTGGTCACTGGCACTGAAGTGATAGAGATCTTTATGCAGTCCAGTCTTTCCCAGACGATGTTGGCGCAGATTTGGTGAGAACACATTTCAGTACACATTATAAATCTCTCTCTCTCTCTCTCTCTTTTTCTCTAGCTTACACACACACCAACACAGACTGAATAGTAACAACCTAATTTGGTCCTTGTGAACACAAATGACTTGTGTGATTATTTGCACATTGAGTGTGGAGGTGAGATCCAATTACAAGTGCTCACAGGAGACACATTCATATTTACATGTACTGCCAGTTAGAGCAGGTTTGGTTCCATAGCACCATCTTTTGGACAGTTTAAATCATTACCTATTCTTATGCATAAGTTTGCAACAAAAGATGAAAACTTGAAGCGCCTCTCAAGTGCGTCAGTGGAAATGGTTGAACATGCTCCAATATTCAAATCTCACAAAGTGTCCGGTATATGAGTTTTTTGAGTAATGTTTATGCTTTTGTCTGCAGGGGATTGGCCGACACTAAACAGACGGGAAAGCTGACCCAAGAGCAGTTCTCTCTGGCCATGTATCTGATTCAGCAGAAGGTCACTAAAGGTGTAGACCCTCCCTCCAGTCTCACCCCGGACATGATTCCCCCCTCAGAAAGGACTGGAACAGCAGCAACGGGTTCTGTGAGTCCTGACTTCAGCTCAATCCTGCGTCGTCCCTATTTATTTAAATTCTGTCTATTTTTCAAAGCAAATATTTTCACTGTCATCTGATTCTGTACCGAAGGAGTCTATGTTTCTCTGCAACTGCTGCATTTCAAATTCAGATTTTTGTGCTCTGGCCCTTTATCCTTTGCTCTGCAAACCTGTTTTTATGCTTTTTCTTTGTATGATATCTTCTCTATCCAACCGAACAGAGCTATGGGGGGCTTTTGTCCTCTGTGAGACCTGAACCTGCTCCACTTGTCAATATGCGCAGAGTGAGTAGTTTAGCTTTGTGTCACAAGATGGCGCTTTTGTACTGTCATATTCTCCATCCCTGTCTGAAGCAATGGGTGCAAACACCTTATTCCTTTTTTTTTTTAAATCATGCATCAGTTTCCCAATGTATTTACAGAAAAAGGCAAAGAGCGTTGTAGGTGTTGTTTGCTTTTGTTGAAAAAAATGTGTTGTGTGTCTGTGAAATTAGTTTTCTTTGAACTTTATTACTTGCATTTAGGGCTCACACTGCCACCTGCTGGACTTTCACTGGCAATGGCCCATCACTGCTGCCCTGTGTCAACTAATGCCAATCTATATTTGCTTGCCAATTCCAATATAACAATTAGTGTGTCTTAGTAGTGTGTTTGTAATCAAGCAATTGATGTTACTAACAGAGTAAAATACAAACAAGTCTGAATGTATTCAAAGGACTGAAGTAGAATTACATACACTTTTGTAAATCTTTCACAAGTGCTCTCACTGATGTTTTATTGAAAGCCATTAATGTGTAATAGACCTTATGTTGAACACTGACGGATGAGACAGATGTCACTGTGGTGTTACATTCTTCTGCATTGTCCTTACTGCACTTCTCTTCTTCTATTGTCTGAATCTCTGGCTCCCTCCCTAGCTGTGCGGGGTGTTTGTATTTCCTTCCTGTCTTTTGTTTTGTTAGACTTATCAGTGGGGAGCTCCTCTCTCCTGCGTACCTCTCTTTCAACCCTCTGCTCTCCTACTCCCCCGCTTTTCCCACCTTTGCACATTTGAACATTTCTGCTAAAATCTTAATCGCATCCATTTGATCATTTCCCTGACCGAGCTGCCGTTTGCCGCTCTCGATGTCTCTGTTCTCACCCTCCATCTCCTTCACGTCCTACGGTGCACCTTTTTACCCAGCCTTCATTTTCTCTTACTCATCTGTCTCAATGTCTCTGCCTTCAGGACAGCACCAGCTCCACAGGGTCGGCCGAGCTGACAGGCATCAAAGAGCTGGATGACCTCAGTCAGGAAATAGCTCAGCTGCAGAGGTGAGCCCCTGCACACTGAGTATAAGGAGGGTAGTATCGTTTTGTTTCATTTTCTCTGAGAAAAAGGAGGAAAGGTTGCAGTGAGGTGATGTTGATCAAAGCGCTTTTAAAACATTAGTTTAGTTTATTTAAGTGTGTTCCTTAGTGTTTATATTTTTATTCCTAGAGAGACTCAGCAAAGAAAACAATATCACCATGAAGCTTCACTAATACTGTGTAAGGCTATCGTCATCAATTGAAAGTTTCAGTTGGACTAAATATAGATTTTTATTTCAAATGCATAAAATTCTATACTAAATAATCTGATTTATTATAGTGCTTCATGCATGTGTAGTCCATGGAAATAAATAAAAGAATCAGATTGTTGCAACAACCTTTGACATTTCACAGTTTTGTCTTTTGAAGCTCTGCATATTGCCAGAAAAGGCCTTTTTGATAACAGAATTTCTTACTTGATTCCCCTGCTCTCCTCCCACGTGCTTCACTGACAGAGAGAAATTCATCCTGGAGCAAGAGATCAGGGAAAAGGAGGATGCCATCAAGCAGCAAAGCAGTGAAGTTCAGGTAAGGCTAAGTAGAGGTAATTTATACTCAATTTGTATTTTACAGTTCACCTCAGTGCTTGGTTTCCAAAATTCCTGGTGTGTGTGTTTCGCGGCCCCTCAGGATATGCAGAATGACTTGGACAGGGAAGGCAGCAACCTGCAGGACCTGGAGTCCCAAAAGCAGGATGCCCGGGAACGTCTGGAGGAGATGGACCAGCAGCGCTCCAAGCTGGAAGGGATGCTCAACGACATCAAGATTAAGTGCCAGGATGAATCTCAAATGGTCAGACTTATTAAAGCACATCACCTTGATCCTGTTGTATTTAATATTCTGCCTCTGGTGATAGGATAATTCACAGTTGTTTTTTTTATTGTGTTGAAATCTCTCGACTTATCAGAGAATGGTTTATGCAGAGTCAGGTTACAGATATCACTGTGCATTCATTCTGATTATTTTTACACCACATGAACGTACTGTCACGCTCAGTCAAACATTGAGCTCAGGAAGTTTTTATGAAATTGCCGCACATTATTATTTTTAAACAGTCATTCAGTGTTTTCTAAATACTACTGCTTTAATTTATCCAAAGAAGCAAAACTAAACTACCAAACCTAAAAATATTTTTCAAAAATTCAAATAAATATGAATCATAAAAAAAACACTAATATAAACCTGACCTCTTTTGTTGGATGGACGTATTAGATATCATCCCTGCAGAGCCAGATCCGCTCTCAGGAGACCGACCTCCAGAGCCAGGAGGATGAAATGAGCCGCACCAAGGCAGACCTGAGCCGGCTGCAGGACGAGGAGGCCCAGCTGGAGCAGAGCTTGCTCTCTGGTCAGGTCCAGCTGGACAGCATCGTTAAGTCGCTGAAAACCACCCAGGAAGAGATCAATCAGGTCAGTGCCGATGTGGAGACAACAGGTTACACGAGGATGTTCTGCCCCTTTTGGCCATTAACTGATTAAGTCACTGTTTTGTAGAGTTTGTAAAGTTTGAAAGGTTTAGCTCTGGATCATAATGAAGGACTGGAGGTGAGGTGGAAAGGTTTTTATATTTAATATATATACTATCTGCCTTATCTTTTATTAAGCTGGAAATCGTGTTTATTATGCAGCGATTTCACTTTTGGAAACATAAGTTTTACTTTCATTTCTCCGGTCATTGTCCTGCTCATGATTCATGCTTGGAAGCACATTGAGATAAAACAGTTGGAAACTGCTTCCAGACATGCACCGAACTCAAGATATTTTGCGGTGGGGCTACAAGTGAGAACACAAATGTCTGAGTCAGTTGCTTTTGACATTTCTTGAGTTTTTCTGACAGCCCTATTGTAAAATGTCAGAATGAGACCATGTGAATACAGCAGGAAAATGAGAATTCAGTCAAACATTTCTTTTTTTTTCTTTTTTTATTTGAAAATCTTTTTTGCCAGGTTGGAAATTGTCTAGTTTTGAACATCTCTTTACCTTATTCAAAATATTCAGTGTAGGAAATCTATTCTAAAAAGAATCACATAATTATACCTGTGCTTAGGCTCGCAGCAAGTTGTCACTGATCCAGGATAACCAAAAGGAGGTTACCAAGACCATTGAGCAGTACAACGGCTCTTTGAGCGACATCAATGGAGGAAACTTCAGCAACCTGCCGGACTTGAGTGGAGGTTTTGCAGAGAAGGAGAACGGAGGTTTCAGGGGCACGGTAAGGAGATGATGAATCCTGTATATATTCTTTTTGTCTAGACCTTTCCACTTGAAAGACCCGACGGGTTTTGGTTGCCTGCCCTCAAAACCCAAGACAGAGTGGAGAAAGTGGGGGGCGTTTCTATCTTCACAATTACCCTTTTTTATGTCACTACTCACCCCTACTTTACCTGTTCAGTGGATTCAGATGCCAGAGTTCAAAAACAAATACTCCCTTGAAAGCTTGTTTTCATAGTTGGACAGCATTCATCTACATTTTTGTTCCTGTAATTTAAAGGTATTTTTGTTGAATGGGGCTTTAAGTCATTTCTTACAACTACAGATTAGATATTCTGTGTATGTTCTCTTTCTTTTGAGTCTGTTCACAAAGTGTGCTTGCTTTCTTTTATTGTTGTCTCTCTCTGACCTCGATGTCGTGTTCTGTTTTCATTCACCAGGATGATTCTTTCAAGTCAAAGATCGCCATGTTCAACAACAGCAGTGCTAAGGAAGCCCCAGCCGACCCCTTCCAGACAGAAGACCCCTTTAAGTCTGACCCCTTCAAAGGTCCTGACACTTTCTTGAATCTTTCTATTATTTGCATCTGTATGTCTGTAGGGATGAAGATCATTCTCTGCTCTGCCAGATGTTGCTCTCTGCTAAACACCTGCCTTAAGTTTTCCCTCTTACTACCTAAATAGGTACCATATTGTTGATTTTGACATGAAATGGGAAATGTTAGTTGTGTGTTCTTGGCGTTCATGCAGTGAAAGAATATAAATAGTATACTACAATCTTGAATGGCACTCATTAGAGCGCATACATCCATCAAAGCCTAACACTCCTCTTATGAAACAACAGTTGAGTTCTCAAGATCCGTATTTTTATTTGGATTGGCACCATTTTTTTTAATCAAGATCTATGAAAAACAAAGAAAGTGCAAATCAAATTCCTGGATTTCCCCCCTGACACGGATCAGCACACAACCGAAAGGGTTCTTCCCTGACTCATACTGCATCCTCCTGCCACGTTTCATGGTAATCTGTCCAGTTGTTGTGAGCAAACCTGCTAACAGACAAACAAACAGAGACAGAAACATAAGCTCCTTGGCGGAGGTAATCATTTCTTGTCAGAGGCTGAAAATGACTGTTTTTTTCTAGATCCATTTGGAGACCCTTTTAAAGAAAGTGATCCCTTTAAAGGCACCTCATCTGAAGATTTCTTTAAGAGGACGGATAAGTCGGACATGTTCGGATCCTCAGAACCCTTTGGAAGAAAACCCTCACTGCCAGCCAAGGTATCAAATGCCTCCTATTTTTCAGCAATCAAACTCAATAGTCTGAAATGCTGTTTTCCTTTCTACATTTAATAACTTAGAAACAAGCCCTGATGTGTTTTCACCATTGTGTGTATGCGGTTATGCAGATGTGGTCATTGCGTATGGATTTTACAAAAGATCTATTGAATCGCTCACTCACTGAACTTGTGCTTTGCTTGTTTTTCCCAGCCAAGTGCCTTCAGCGGCGGTGATCGCTTCACATCAAACAGCCCAAAGCCGAACGATTCAGGTACTGTACTGCACACATTGGCTGTCAGTTCACAGAGAAAGATTCAATACTGACTATTCTGAGTTCATGTTTATTCCTGTTGGTTCTGAGAAAAGTTTAAAACTTTTCATTTTCCTGTTTAAATTAGTATTTAGGCTCCCTTGTGTATTATTTGCTGTCTTTTGAGTATTTCGGTTGTGTATGTTTCTCTATCTTACTTCTATTATTGTAGTCAGGAAGTAGAAGGTAGTGTACAGTGACTTCCTGCCATGGCACTTTGTCAAATGAAAGAGCGTAGGCCTCGTCGTCCCCGTGCTAAATATATGCAGAATTTCCACGCAGGTTTCCCAGAATGTGACTCTATTAACAGAGATCCGAACGTGAGAGAACGTTCTCATTGTGAAACTCATCTCAAAGAGTCTTTCTTTGCTCTCCTGGGTGACGTGTTAGATTTAGATTATGTTTTGGGGGGCATGAGGGGCAAACAATTTTTACTCACTGTGGCTTCACTTTTTCCTGTGGTTTTGGGCTATTTTTAGATGAGTACCTACGCATTTAACTACTGGCCAACTAAAAATACTCCCCCCTACCCTGGAAAAACAGGAGGCTCACAGGATCCAAGCATAACAGAAACTCTGTGACTGCTGGTCCTGCTCTACTAGAATACACTGCCACTCCTTTAACCAGTTCATTCCTGCCTCTGTCCTGCCTTTATATCTGCTGCTATTGACTTGCTCTGCCTCATTCAGTACAAAAGTTGTTTTAAGTTAGTGGCCGGCCCTGGCCAGTGCTCTGCCATGCTACACACCTCCACAAGAACACTGAGGCATCTGTAGACCTGAGCCCAGTTACTGTGTGTAAAAGAAAACACTGCGTACTTCACATGAATGGGGTCTTTTGTGGTTGCACATTCACAACAAACATATTCTATTACAATGTTTTGTTGTTTCACTGTAAGGATCTGCAGTTTGCCCTTTTTTTTTTTTTCATTAAGCAGCATACCACTGAGCTTCAAAACAAGCCAGGCACAGTTCTGGTTAACAGTGCGCCAACTGACGCCTTTAATTAGTTGATCAGATACATACGTCAGGTTAAACAAAACCTCTACGTTCCAGGTTTTTTGCAAAATGTCATGGAAAATTAAACGGTCATGCCTCATTCCCTCCTCTGGAAATCATACCCAGGCCCTCTCAGAATAAGAGATGTAGAGATGCTTTTGAATGCGTGGTTCGAGGACTGAACCTCATTATAGTTTCTGGATGTTTCCATAAATGTTTTCAAATGTTCCAAATGCTTTTCAATGTACTCCTGTCACAGATGTGTTTGGGAAAGTGGACCCCTTTCGAAGCCAGTCGTTTGCAGGCAAAGGAGGTGGTTTTGCTGACTTTAGTCACATGTCAAAGGTAAGTTATGAATCAGTTGCACCATAAAGCATCATTTTCCACTGAAGCTGTAGAAAACTGTGTTGTTAATTTTTCTCTCGTTGTGATTTATTTCTTATTTTTTTGCCTTTTTATTACATTTGTGAAAGCAGTTTCTCTGGTATGAGGCCAGAGGCTTTAGATCTTGGCTGACATTTCTGTTGGCGTAATCATGCGGTGTGATAGGTGAGGGATTTTTTTGTGTGTTTCCCCTGGTGTGTGAACAGAAAGCAGACAATCCTGTGCTCCCATCAAAGAAAAGTGTGCCTAACCGACCTGCGCCTCCCTATGGTAAGAGCTGAATTTATCTAAGTGTTTGTTCGCTTCAACATGACTGTGCTTGCTGCTTAAATTGACATTAATGGTTTATTGTTGTTCATGAGCAGCATGTCTTGTTGGTTTAAACCAGTTAAATTCGATGCCATTTATGATTTATCTTGCTGTTGTTGTCAGTACAACTTCAAGTCCTTTTCTACTTCTTATGGTTGCGACTTGTCACAAAAATGTAGCGGCAACAACATGTACTGAGTTTGACTCGTCCTATCTTACAGGGATTATTTTGCCCTGATGGTATGAGGGGAAAAAAATCACTTCCTTGTTGAGCCATGAGGGTGCAGGCAAAGTTTGGAACAGTAAAGTTGGTGGCAGGGGATATGATCCTATCATGGGTTTTCAAAGTGATGTGTAATAAAGACAGTTTAAAGACTTTATTTTTGTTTAAGTAGCTCCATGCTGTCTGAATTTACTGAGATGTGATGAGAAAAAAAAAAAACTCTTCTCAGCAATTTGGATGCAGTTACACTCCTGTTCATCTCGTTCAAAGTCACACATGCTGACAGGACTTGCCCATCATGTGCCCTTCCGCTCTTACCTTGCACTTATTCTTTTAGCAGAAGCCACAGCGTGAGAAAGTTGGTGTTCCCCTTTGCTTAACCACACAGAGTGGTAGAGATGAGTATCGACTGTTTAATAGTGAGCCAGCTCCAGAGACGTGTTTCGTACACAATGAGGAAGTGAGAAGCCCACACTCAAAATCCGTGGGCCGTTTTTGAATTTTTTTGCATCACAGAAACGATTGCGAGTTCTGGTTGAGTAAAACCGTGTAAATTAACTTTTGAAGTAATTTTTCAGGTGAAGCAGTATAAAAAGTAAATTAGTATTTCATTAGAGAAATTGAAGCCCTGTGAGTTTGCTGATGCAGCCGTTTTGTGTTGATGGTTCAAGTTTGAAAGAGGAAAAAAAAAAAGAAGTACTGGCCAGATAATAATACATCATTACAGGAAATGTTTTCAAAGCTAACTGGACCCCAGGGTGGGTTCATCTTCTTCAATTCTCTTTTCCAAAAAAGCAGCACTGCGCTTGTCAAGCTTTGATGCAACAGTCAGCTTTACTCAATAAATGTGGTTAACACCTTTTCTAAACTGATATCACCCATGAGTAACTACAGAGCTTCAAGCTATAGGCTTCCTGTACAATACGACGCACGCCTCTGAAGTGTGAGGTTATTTTCCCAAGGGGGCAAGCAGTTGTTAGCCTCCATATAGGCAGGCCACCAAAAGTGTTTTTATGACATGGATTTGGTGTTTATTTAAATATCTTCCTTCTCCAGTGGGTGTGCTCAGTTCGGGTGCGTCGCAGCCGTCCCAGAGTGTGTGCTCCGCAGCAGACAGTAAAGACTCTAATGTTACGGCAGACTCGAGTAAAACATCCAAAGACTGTCCTGTGGCTTTTGCACATTTTGACTCTGTAAGTGTAGTCTACTTACAGTTTTTTCTGTTGGATCACGTACCTTCTGTCTGCATGAGCTGCCGATCCCTTCGATCTCACTCTTCGGATTCTGGAGCTGCAGGCTCAAAGGTGTCAGCTGCTCTGTCTCTGGGCCTCATTCTGTTAACTCTCCCTCACATGGTGACTTTAGAAGGCAATCACAGGACTGCTGTTCTTACTGGCTGTTGACTAACAACTGACCGAACATCTGGATGAAAGTAAGAATACGTGTTTGCATGACCGACTTGGACGGTTCCAGTTAACTTGCAGACCGTCTGGTAAAGGGGCTTGCATGATTGTGGTCGTCTCAGACAGGAAGTCAGGATTTATGCACAGTTGGAGGCCGAGCCCGTGAACTTGCCCGGTCAGGTAGCACTCGAGGAGCATTTTTCAAGTGTTGAACTACAAGCTAAAGGCTTATTTTCTGTCAAAGCATGATATGCCTGGAAGCAGAGCACAACAGAGTAAATCTGCCTCTTTGTCCTCCACCTTCCGCTTCTTTGCTCTCGTGTATAGTCTAACAGCTGAGCGTTCTCTCAAGTGAGAGGATGATGCATGGCAGTTGTTTTGTGTCTGGTTTGTTTCATTTGATGTGACATGAATTTATTTTATCCCCCGTGCCAGCATGACAGTTGTGAAAGGGATTTGTGTGTGTGTTTTATTTCTTTATATCGAGCTCTGTATTGTAATCTTTGTTTTTCTGCCAGGATCTGAACATGTCAAGGTAAGACTGTACCAGGGTGTGGTGGTCAATCCTTTGCATGTGAAAAACCTGTCCGCACAGCATAATCTGAGTTGGGTGATTCATGAGCACGATTATTTGCAATGTATCATCACAGTCGCATTGATCCAGCTCCTGAATATTTATGTGACCAGTGACTTTTTGGCACCGCTGTACCTCTAGGTTTTCTAGGTAGAAATCATTTGAATTAAGCTTATAGTGCTGATTTCTTTGCTGTTTTGTCCCAGTGAATATAAACCTCTTTATTTATGCATTTATTTTTCTCCGCTTACCGTCGTATATTTAATTATAACAATGTTGTGTGGACATAATTTTGGAACTTCTGCTTAATTAGGCCTGATTTTAAATTTGCAACCACCTTTTGTTTTACTTCGGCTTTCGTCCAGTGATTTGTCTCTGTTTTTGTTGTTGTTGACATGTCAGCCTGCATTCCTGTGTTTCTCCACATCTAACAGTTGTTTTCCTGCTGTAGTTTGGAAATGAGAACCAGCAGCTGGAATGGGCCAAGCGGGAGAGCGAGCGTGAGGAGCAGGACAGGCGGAGCAGGCTTCGGCTCCAGGAGCAGCAGGACCTGGAGCTCGCCATCGCCCTCAGCAGGGCCGACATGCCCAGCGCCTGACCAAGCACGCCCCACCGCAGCTCTTCAGTCCTCTTCCTTTTGCCTTATAGTCCTCCGTCCTCTGGTGCATGACAACAGCACCAACACTGGCCCGACATGACTAGCAGCCCCTGTTATCAATTTGTGCAAGACACCAGTGTTTCCCCCACCGTCAAATGACTCTGCATTTAGCCACCGGTTAAGGTTCATTGCTCCCAAACTACATGGCAACTATAATCAGGGACAATACGGAGCCACTTGATTTAAGCCTGACTTCATCCTGCAAGACCATAGCGATTTAACGAAACCCAAACCAGAAGGCTTCTCGACTACAACCTAAATCTAGCTCCATATCTCGTCATGGTTAATCACCCTGCCTTAACCAAAAGCCTGTATGTTGCAAAAAAAAAAAGAAATCTAAAGACAATTTTAACATTTTAATTGTGAACGAAAGCAATGACTCTGTTGAGTATGAAGTACTTGTAAAGTTCACTGTATAAACTGTTTTATATAACCTTTAATTACTCCGAAAAAGTCATATTGAAAGTCAAACCATACAAGCCAAGAACTCTGATGGCCTGAGTTTGTGCTAGAGTTGTGTTCATATACTGTAAATATTGATAGTTTTATTTCCAAGTCCATCTCCCCGGACTAGATTGTAGTTATCGGCATGAAAATGGCATGATTTAGATTTTTATTTCAAATGTTACAAGTGTTTTCTTACAATTCTGAATGCATATCTTATATTTATGGCCTTACAGAACGTGGATTGAAGAAACACTCGAGTATAATCATCGTAGAAATTGTGATGATTTTGGGAAACTGAGCATTTTATTCCTTTAGCAAAGCTTCAGTTGAATAACTTCTTGTGTTTAGAATAACTAAGACAGTAGCGATAATCATGGAGGTCTTCCTTTTCTTATGATCAAAGTTCAGTCAGTTTAACCTGGAGCGCTGTTGATCCACCCCTCTGATGTCAGATGGTTTATCATTGGCTGCCTTGTTGTAACGCCCAAACAATCTGCACTCCCATACAACTAAAAGCCTCTATCAAATAGAAAGTGTAAACCTACGTTGTTTATGCTGGTGCTGTTACATTTAGATTCCTCTTCTTCTTCTTCACATCACCACTCATGCACAGAGACGTCTGCTCTTTACCAAGTTTTTTGCTTTTTAGCTCAAATCAACCATCGGATTGTTATTTTTAAGCTCTTGTGTTTTTCGGTGCGTTTAAGTCTAATGATCCAGTTGAAGGACATTTGTTTAAATGCCCTAACATGGCTTCCTTTTAATTATGAAACACTAATCAGGTTTATTCGGCACATAATATTCCAGAACCTACTGGACTAAGTGGCATTGCCTTATTTATCAACATATCAACATTTTAACGTTATATTGCACAGTATGTATGTGATGATATAAATATATTAAAAAGCAATTCTTAGAGTTTTAAGTTGCTCATAAGTGTATTAGCTTTTAATTGAATAAAAGTGATTTTTAACATACCTGGAATATGTTAAGTATTGTAATAACAGTCACAGAAAGAAGGGATTCAGTTATATGACACACAACGTAATAAATAATTGAGATCACATAATAAAAGTATCTGTGGTAAATAAAGAAGAACCGGTCAGTATTTTGTTAACTTTAGTTTTAGGTGGTAAATTATTTATTGTAATTCAAGATTATTTGTTGACATTTGTGAGTTCTGCATTGATATTGTGACAAGAAAAGAGAATTGAGAGTGACACATTTGCATCTTCCACCGTAGATATTTTTGACCGAGTGTGTGCTTCCTCTTTTTTGTATCAAATTGCAGGAGAGTTTTATACCAACACATCTCTAGTCACGTTCTGTTATATATAAAGTTGAGGACTAGGGTGACACCACTTTTATCAAGTTCTGTTTAAAGTTTTTAAAACATTCTTCGGGTTAATCGCCTAACCACGTATTTTTGTAGAAAAATGCAAAAATATTTATATTTTGCAAAAAATGCCGTCTGGTTTTGATACAGCCAAATCTAAACTCTTTGATGCTGGTGAAACAAATACTGACACCACACAGACATATTATGCACAGACTCGGATACTTTGAAACTGCAGTGCGGAGTGACTCTGTGTAATTGTAGTATTAAGGCCCTTTGATGTCCTACTATAATTTCTACCCATCAGAAAGGGAGTCTAAGGGCTCCCTGATGAGGGTTTTGCTGTTCCCCTCTGTCCAGACGGCTCCTGGCTCACTCTGTAATTATGGAGATGGAGTGTTTGTATTTATAGGCTAAGCCCACAAGTGGCTGCCCTTTTCTGTCGTGCAGCTGCATAACATCACAGTGGAAATCAAGTGGCCATATTTTAAAATTAAAGTGAGTATACAATGGCTGCATGTATAACCCGTTTACTGTCACTGATGTGATGGTGTGCAGGTCTGCAGCGCTCACTCGAAGCGGCCCTGAGCACAGTCTCAAACTTCAGTGGGTGCATGTTGAGCTAAACCTGTGAACAAGATGTATCTCAGTATAAAAGAGAGGAGCTGTGACGTTCGATTTCATTGATTTTAATATTTACAATAAATACACATTTTACAGTATAAAATCCATTTACATTTTCATATAAATTTAAGTAAAAAATAATACACAGGACATCAAGCCCTGATAGTGTACAGAGGGGCTGGATCCAGGAGTTTCACACCAGAGGAGACAGCAATGACTCCGAGCAGGAAGAAGCAATAAAATAAAAAAACAGTTCAGGCCATTTGGACATTGAGGCAGTTTAAATAAAACATTGTCTTTGCACACGTTTGGCAACTGTATGTGCATTTCACTCCCGTCAACAAGAACATGTACTGTTTTGTGGCCATGTCTTTCTGTCACTAAGAGTTTTACAGTAGCACAGTCATAGAGAGGCACTTGTGTCAAACACCGCATTCCAGTTCTGTCAAGGAAGAGTAGTATATACAGGGCCAGCCCCTTCTTGGTCTGCCTGCTCTAAAGCAAACAAAGCTTTTCTAAAGCTTTCAAAGAACCAAAGTAGTACCAGCTACGTCATTAGAAAATAATACCACTAAAACTTTTTAAAATTCAATATTATATATAAAAAAAGACTTTGGTCATGTGGAGAACTTAAATAAAAAATACATCAGTTGGATCACAATACAATAACACAACCCCCCACCCCCTGAACCCCAAGTCCTTATTGGGGGGGGCTCCCCTCACATGTGCCTCTTCATGTGAAGAGCCAGGTGGTCAGACCTGGAGAAGGCCCTCTCACACAGGTGGCACTGGAAGGGCCTGTGTCCGGTGTGTTTTCGGAAATGACGAGTGAGTTCGTCAGAACGGGCGAACTTCCACCCGCAGCCCTCCCAGCTGCAGTGGTACGGCTTCTCACCTGGTGGACAGAAAGAAGAGACATGGTCAGAACGTGCAGAGAGGAGACGTGTGGTTGTGCTGCAGAGGAAGAGTCAGATTCGTGGCGGTGGGTGTGAGTTCAAACTTACCGGTGTGCGTCCTGAGGTGAGCCTTCAGGTGGGAGCTCTTGGTGTAAGTTTTGCCGCAGCCTGCGAAGGTGCAGGTGTGCGTCGCCGTGCGCTTCCTCGGCCATGTGCGCCGTCCTCTCTTGGGTTTGGCCTCCAGCAGCTCCAGGGGCGATGAGGGCGGTGTGAGCATCACCCTCTGCGCGCCGGGCTGCAGGCTGAGACCTTCGTCGTACATGCCGAAGGCGCCGTGCGGAGCGTGGTAGGACATCTGCAGCTGCGGAGCCTGCGGGTGGTGCGGGAAAGGCACCTGCGTGTGATACTTCTGCGAGAAGTTCATGGACTGGCACAGCTGTGCCTGGCAGTCCGACGCTCCCTGGTCATCGGGGCTGAGAGGCGGCGTCATGTTGCTGGCTGCCCGCGGGGAGATGGCCACCCGGGGCTGGTCGAAGGACATCATGCACGAAACGTTGCCCTCCTGCTTGATTTTGCTGCAGCTCTGAGGCACCATGCCCACGATGGGGCCGTAAGCGTCCATGGATGGCTCCACTTTGATGTTGTCCAGGCGGGGAAAAGGCGCAGTGTTGACATAAAACCTCCCCTGAACGCCGGGGTTGCGCGTAATGCCATAGTTGTTGGTTCCTTCGGAGCGCAGCAGCTCGGTCATGAGGCTGGCGCCGTACGGGGGCGGCGGGGAGCGGTGGTCTTCCGCTGGGTAGGATGACACCGAGTGTCCGCTGGTGTACATGTTGGGCTCCACGGTGCCCACGTAGTCCGCCACGCTGTCTGAGCCAGTCGTGTTGGCGAGAATAAAATCCAGATCCAGATAATTACTCAGATCCTCGTCGTCCTTTTTGCTGTGACTGTCCAGGTTGTGTACCATTTCAAGCATCGAGCAGCTGCTGGAGACTAGTTTGTCCATCTCCCCTTTCCACCTCTGAAAGAATAAAGAAACACCCTCAGTTAAAAGAGCCGATCACATAAAAAACACAGTTTGTGACACTGTCCAGTTTGGACGAGTCTCTGCAAAACAACTTTTCATTCTCTTAATGTCACAAATACAGTTTTTCCTTTTTGTTTTCTTTAAGCAAATTCACTGTTTCACCTGTTTGCACAGTTTGAAACAAAGTCACATCTGATCCAACTCACGCACGTCCACAGTTTGGATTTTGAATTTAACAGCAGAATCGTTAACTCACGTTTTCCCAGGGTTTTTCTCTTTGGTTTGTGAAGGTGGAAAACGACGGCAGCATCACTCCGGATAAAGCCATCGTCCGGTTGAAATAATCAAACTGGAATATGTGGAGTCAAAGTTGTCGTTGCGCGCCTGGAGTCTGTGCGCCTGCTTCACTGTCGCCCTGTCTCTCCACACACAGGCATGAACAAGTTTTAAAAAGTGGTAGGAGGTCCTCCGACCTTTTAACTCTCCGGGCAGAACGCGCCTGGCCAATTGTGAGAGTTTCAGGAAACCACGTAGAGTTCGGTAAATTTAGCTCTTTATAAAGCGGATCCTGCAGGCAGCGCGGCTCAGTGCGCCGTGTGACCGGCACAGAGGCGCAGAGGAGCCTATAAAGCGCGGGCCCTCCCCCGCAGGCTGACGCACACGACGCACCGACCAACCTGGTCCTGCTGGAAAAAAGTTGCAGGCAAATCACAAACACACACACGGGCGATATGGCAACCGTACATTGTTACGTAACGTGGTGAAAAAGAACAAGGCTTAATGACAGAAAAGCTCTGCAGGTCATGAAGCAGCATTAATTACTTGGTATAAAAGCTGCCAGGGCTCCGGTTCATCATCAGCACACACATTCATATGTCAAAATGTACAATTCAGAGCAGTGGGTGAAGAAACACATTGAATAAGAAGCGTACAACTCACGATTGAATGATGTTATTAAATCTGACAAGATGTTTTTCTTAAAAATCTCCATGTGGTTTGATTTGTCAGTTTCTAGTTTCAGGCCCATTAAGTTATTTATTTATCTTCATGATAATGACTCTACAACACGTGCTCCATTCATATCTGATGTATAACATCTGTATATCAAATGTCTCATCATTGTAATGCTGCATATATACCGTGTGTGTGTGCGTGTGAATGTGAATTGTGGTTTTTATGGTTG